CCTGAGGTGGTTGAGCAGAGGCTGGAGTCTCTCGTCTGACTGCACAGTGGGCAGGGACCGGGTGGTTAACTGAAAGGAGACACAAGCGTTGGTACAGTTGTACAGCAAGGGCCAAACACAGAAGCGACGGGAGTGCCAAGGGCAAAGCCAGTCTAGGCACAGTGGACAGGCAGGGAGGCAGGATTCAAAATGGAGGGAGATGCTTCTTTCTGTTAGATCAAGGACTTATATTAAAGCTTGGTTCCAAGGACACAAGGTCAGTCCCTGGGCTTAGAATTGGAAAGAAGGATCACAAGCATAAGAAAGCGCCAGAGGCTGGGCCCAGGGAGCCCCCACTGGGGAACACACCAGTCCTATATAAAGGAGAAGGGAGACTTGTGTGTGACACCTGTCTGACAGCCACTTTCGGTGAGGCATCCTGAGACGATGAACTCCAGGGCAGGAGCTTCCTGTAGGCCTAAGCCACTGTAAATCGAGTTACTCCAAGGAGTAAGAACGTGTGTGTGTGTGTGTGTGTGCTTCCTGTAGGCCTAAGCCACTGTAAATCGAGTTACTCCAAGGAGTAAGAACGTGTGTGTGTGTGTGTGTGTGCTTCCTGTAGGCCTAAGCCACTGTAAATCGAGTTACTCCAAGGAGTAAGAACGTGTGTGTGTGTGTGTGTGTGTGTGTGCTTCCTGTAGGCCTAAGCCACTGTAAATCGAGTTACTCCAAGGAGTAAGAACGTGTGTGTGTGTGTGTGTGTGTGTGTGTGCTTCCTGTAGGCCTAAGCCACTGTAAATCGAGTTACTCCAAGGAGTAAGAACGTGTGTGTGTGTGTGTGCTTCCTGTAGGCCTAAGTCACTGTAAATCGAGTTACTCCAAGGAGTAAGAACGTGTGTGTGTGTGTGTGTGTGTGTGTGTGTGTGTGCTTCCTGTAGGCCTAAGCCACTGTAAATCGAGTTACTCCAAGGAGTAAGAATGTGTGTGTGTGTGTGTGTGTGCTTCCTGTAGGCCTAAGCCACTGTAAATCGAGTTACTCCAAGGAGTAAGAACGTGTGTGTGTGTGTGTGTGTGTGTGTGTGTGCTTCCTGTAGGCCTAAGCCACTGTAAATCGAGTTACTCCAAGGAGTAAGAACGTGTGTGTGTGTGTGTGTATGTGTGTGTGTGTGTGTGTGTGTGTGTGTGTGCTTCCTGTAGGCCTAAGCCACTGTAAATCGAGCTACTCCAAGGAGTAAGAACGTGTGTGTGTGTGCGCGCGCGCTTCCTGTAGGCCTAAGCCACTGTAAATCGAGTTACTCCAAGGAGTAAGAATGTGTGTGTGTGTGTTTGTGTGTGTGTGCTTCCTATAAGCCTAAGCCAATGTAAATCGAGTTACTCCAAGGAGTAAGAACGTGTGTGTGTGTGTGTGTGTGTGCGCTTCCTGTAGGCCTAAGCCACTGTAAATCGAGTTACTCCAAGGAGTAAGAATGTGTGTGTGTGTGTGTGTGCTTCCTGTAGGCCTAAGCCACTGTAAATCGAGCTACTCCAAGGAGTAAGAACGTGTGTGTGTGCGCGCTTCCTGTAGGCCTAAGCCACTGTAAATCGAGTTACTCCAAGGAGTAAGAACGTGTGTGTGTGTGTGTGTGCGCGCGCGCTTCCTGTAGGCCTAAGCCACTGTAAATCGAGTTACTCCAAGGAGTAAGAACATGTGTGTGTGTGTGTGTGTGCTTCCTGTAGGCCTAAGCCACTGTAAATCGAGCTACTCCAAGGAGTAAGAACGTGTGTGTGTGTGTGTGTGTGTGTGTGCGCGCACTTCCTGTAGGCCTAAGCCACTGTAAATCGAGTTACTCCAAGGAGTAAGAACGTGTGTGTGTGTGTGTGTGTGTGTGTGCTTCCTGTAGGCCTAAGCCACTGTAAATCGAGCTACTCCAAGGAGTAAGAACGTGTGCGTGTGTGCGCGCGCGCTTCCTGTAGGCCTAAGCCACTGTAAATCGAGCTACTCCAAGGAGTAAAAACGTGTGTGTGTGTGTGTGTGTGTGTGCGCTTCCTGTAGGCCTAAGCCACTGTAAATCGAGCTACTCCAAGGAGTAAGAACGTGTGTGTGTGTGTGTGTGTGTGTGTGTGTGCTTCCTGTAGGCCTAAGCCACTGTAAATCGAGTTACTCCAAGGAGTAAGAATGTGTGTGTGTGTGTGTGTGTGTGTGTGTGTGTGTGCTTCCTGTAGGCCTAAGCCACTGTAAATCGAGTTACTCCAAGGAGTAAGAACGTGTGTGTGTGTGCTTCCTGTAGGCCTAAGCCACTGTAAATCGAATTACTCCAAGGAGTAAGAATGTGTGTGTGCACGCGCGCGTGCGCACGCCCTCCCCACCTGTGTCCTACTCTAAGTTTGAATCTTAGCAAGAATAACTTCTAACCCATGCCACCAGTCAACACACTAAGTAAAAAGGTCTGCCTTCCAACTTGCAATGCAATTAGTACTTTCAAACAACAATCTTTCCAGTTAGTGAGCTGATACAAGCATTCCAAAGCCATAAACCATCCGTGACCTTTCAGGACAAGTGGTCCCAGGACCTATTTTCAAAATTCTTTCTAAGGTTCCAGGGTTCCTACTCATATGCACTCTGCTATGGGGCCTGCATCTGAACACTGGCAATGTAATGGGTGCTTAACCAATAATTATCGTGTGACAAATCCATGAATTTGCAACCAATTTCCTTAACTGATGAAAACCAAAGTATTTTTCTATCTATACTTCATACTTAAAGCTTTAGAAATTCCTCACTTTAGCAAAATTAAGGCTAACTCTAAAACTAAACTAAATCACAATTAGCCTTCCAAGAAAATTATATATCATCATAATAAGATTTTTAGCACCATCTATTTTAGCATTTCTTCTGCTACTTGAAATGAATACTTGTCTGGGTTAAATAGATTTGGACTCCAATGCCGTTTCGTGTTATTTTATAGAAAATGTAACACACCTTTGTAAACTTGATCAGTATGGAAAGAGGAAGTTTTGGGACTATACACTCTAATCAATAAGCCTTTATTTTGAGTCAGAAGCCAAAAAGAGACTGAATGACAAAAGCTTCAAGCTTCTCCGTGGCGTAAGACAAATGCAGCATGTGAGCAAGCGGGTATTGTTGCACATTTTCCATACACTTTCCTCTGAAACAGTCTGAGGGAGGGGGGAGAACGGCTTGAGGACAGGCTAAAACAGAGGCAAGGAAATCCATGAAGGGAAAGTACACACGGTGTCCCAGGTATTCAAGGCAGCCCGGGAGGAAGGGAGCCATGAGCACATGGAATCCAAGGAGGTGGAAGACACACAGCTTCATGATGAAAGAAGACAGAGGAGAGCCCAAAGATCCCACATGGCCTAGGGGTAGCTTACTAGATCTCCATGTTAAGAGCATGGCTTCCCCTCAACCAGTCAGATTAACCAGGGAAGAGCACGTGTCTACTGACTGTACGCGCTCACGAGCCGGAGCCTTCAGAAGTCAAGGCTCACGGAGCCTGTGCATCTGCACCGCTGGCGGAGAGCAGGAAGGTTGGAGAGCACCCCATAAGCCGGGGGGCAGAGTGGGGCAGTGAAGACACGTGTTCATTCTCCTCTCTGTAAGCCTCTCTGGAAACCCCAAGTGTCTTCTGCAGAGACAATCAGTGGCTAGAGACATCGGCCAGGATTTACCAGCCTTACTTGGAGCAAGCAGTTTTGTCAGTGGACTTCAAAGTGTTATAACACCGATCACAAGCAGTTACAAAACAACCGGCACCTCCAACTCTTGCTGCACATTTGCAATGAATTAAGAACCACAGTTTTCTAGAGATAAAATACTCCCCCCGCCCCCCCCCCCCGGAATACATGATTTTTACTTTGTGAGGGGATATTCTCTGAGGAAAGCGTTCTGGCTCCAGCTACAAAGCCGACACTGCTCTTCAAACCCTGAAGGAAATTTTGCTGCCAGGACGCATTTTGCAGCAGAATTGTTTTAAATGGTTGATAAAGGAAGGGGTCTGTTGGAGGAAAACATTTCTTCCTGATTTCCCTTTCCAAATGATAGGCACAAAGAGAGGGAACTTCATAGATGGGGAGGTAAGTATACAGGCAAATGGTTCTTAGAGTCACCAGACATTTCAAAAACAAAAGCACTTCAATCGCTTAAAAACGGAGAACAGGAGGGTGTCTTCTTTTAGAAATAGTAAGTCCTTTTTCCCAAACTGCTCATCAAACACTGCTTAAACTAAAACTCACAAAAGCAACAGGAAAACGATGCTCACTTGGAAAACATTGCTCCATTTTGTTCTCTGGTGTTTTTAGCCTCCCTCACTCCTTCACCCTCTTTACAACGCTTGAGAGGAACAGCCACATCCACTAACATTTGAAAGATTAAAAATTAGAGTTACATTTTACAATTGCCAACTGCTGGTTTTGCTTCTGTAAACTTGCTTGCGCTAGCACTGACCCTTCCCCTCCCTGGAGATAGGGGCAGGATACGTGCAGGCCGCTAACCAGGAAACGAAACCTCGGGCCTCTGAGTCACCGCCTGCAGACCCTAGCATGACCTTAGTACATGCCTTAAAACCAGGCATTCCGGTAAAATAGCCGACCAACACATTCCTTCCTGTAAAACTTAGCCTTAATGTTAGGGTGAGGCAGGATGTGATAAACCACTTGTCAAAACTAGGGAACAAATAGTTTCGGTGCATAGCGACCAGCACAGGCATGTCAGGGCAAGTACCGACACGTCAGCTTTCCCCCAACCCCACCTACCCCATCTGGCCAGCTTAACCTGTCCAATCCTCACCCTGAGCGTAATTTGAAATTAACCAATCATCCCCCTGTAACCACGCATCTCGCTTCTGTAACCTCGCTTCTGCTGTCCATAAAAAGAGGGTGCTTTCAAGCACTCAGCGCGCAAGTCTCCCGATAGACTTTGTCGCCCCGGGTACCCGTGTAACCGGTTCTCAGACACTCAACCCCAACCTTGTGGATCTCGAGGTTGAGTGCACCTGGGAGCCGAGGGCTTGCCCGAATAAACCTCTTGCTGTTTGCATCCGCACAAGTGGTCTCGTTGTTCCTTGGGGAAGGGTCTCTTCAGATTGAAGGACACCCCACGCCGCCAGGGGTCTTTCACATTGAAGTTGAGCCTTAAAGGAAACCCAGGTAGGTAATATATCAAGTTAGATCCTTTCTTTTCCCATGATATTATGATGCTCAAACCAGCAAAATATAATTCTCACTGAGCAGTATTCCGGCAGTAGCATTTATGTGTATTTACAAATGAAATTTGTAAATGAATTTTAATTTGTAAATGAAATTTACAATGAAATTCAATTTTTAGGAAAAACTAAATAGAAAATATTTTCAAAAAATCTGTGCATTGTCCTCATTTCATGCAGGATCTGGGGGTCTACTGACCTTCCAAGAACATCAACTCAAAATCCAGAATGCCAGCCTTTTCTACTAAAGTGTGAAACTTGAACAAAATAAAGCAATTTTAGGTTTGGATTCCATTTTGTCGGGAACTGTGTAAGTACTCCCCTTGAGCCCAAATTCCAGGAAATCAGCAATTACCCTTGATATTCCAGGAAATCAGCAACTACCCTTGGCCTCAAGGGGTTGAGGCCAAATTCCAGGAACAACCCCCTTTACAGAAAATAAGCGCAGCTAATGAGCAGGTAATAGGATAAGGTCAGGGTTCAGACCATCCGCTCCAGCCAATCATTTCGAAGAGCATCAGCCCTGTGAACCAGCCAATCCCCAGTTCCTGGTCGGCTCCCACCACTGGTGACACTAATCATCTTTTAGAATTATTTTATGATTTTCCCGCTGTGTGATATGATTTGTTAAGTGTTGCAATGACGCACAGAAGTCCCTAAAAACCCTATATAAAAAACGCTGCTAGAGGAAGGACCGGGACTCCCTATCTAGATCCACTGTGTGGAAGACGGGGGTGAGTCCAGATCGAGCTTGCATCGGAATCGGCTCCTCATCTGGGCACAAGAAAAGATGGGCAGCATGTGCTGTCACGGGCATCCTAAAGGCACAGGGCTTATGTGTCACCTCTGTGTGTGCATGCCAGCTTGGGGCATGCACCCCAGCTTGGGGTTGCACTCGGGGCTGAGGTGCTGTCTCTGAGCTTTTTTGCTCAAGCCTCCGGCTCTCCCGCGTGAGCCATGGCTCCACTTCTGGCTTTTTTGCAGTTAATTGGAGGTAAGAGTCTCCCAAACTTTCCTGCCCGAGGCTGGCTTCCAACCCAAATCAGATCTCAGGCTCCTGAGTGGCAAGGCTTACAGGAGTGAGCCGCTGGCACACAGCAATGTATAAAGTTTTCAAAGAAAAGGCAAAAATGTTTAAACAGATTTCACAGTCACAAAGAGACACAGCTGTAGAACAAACAGGTTTCCAATAGAACTACCACTTTTATTGCTGGGACCAAGGCAGATGCTAAATAAAAATTAACTTTCACAAAAAAGCAGCTGCTCTTTTAACTTTATTGACTTTAACGACAGAGAACTCTGCATCTTTTTGCCCTAACCTGTGAAAATCTACTTTACATTTCTCAGTCTGTGGCAGCTCCCCCCCCCCCCCCCCCCCCGCACCCAGTCTGGCACCTGTCAGTGAGCTCCTGCACACACGGTACTTGATCAGCACAATGACTCCGTCCATGGAAATCCCTCTATCAGCTGGCCACAAATGTGATTTTCAACCATGACCTTGTGAAGCAAAATGTACAGATTTTATCTCAGCTTTCAACATGCCAAGTAGTTTAATGTTCAACGAATATAAAACAGTGCAGAGGGAACCAGATCTTTCCAGTCCAGGAGCTGGATGATACGAAAAGCTAACAGACCAAGCCTGAGGATGGTGCAAGCAGATATCAGGTTCGGTTGTGAAACCTGTGGTGTGAAGAGAGGCTTATTATTCAAAGGTAACCTCGGTGCTTCACTGATGCTCAGTTAGAACTGTAAAGTGTAAATCAAGTACTTAGGCAAGGAAAGTATGAAGAGCTAAGCAGTGACAAATCATGGGATCACTGAAATTACTCCTTAATGCAAAACCCCCAGAAAACAAAACAAAACATTTTATTTCTAGAATACTGTGCATCTGAATTCTTAAGCTGTTGCATGTATTTCACAATTAGACTTTAAAAAAAAAAGATGCCATGTGGAATGCAGGTTTTGTTTTCCATTTTTCTGGTGGTCTCAATTAAAACCCATAAAGCAAGGTTCTTACAGAGAAACTAGCCAGCTAGCTTTTCCAGTATTGTTACTACATTCGGGGGCTCTCCTCACAATATCCTAAACAGAGACAGGATCTCAATCTGTCAACCAAAGGTACGTGGAGCGTCCGCGTGACCCTAACACCTCCTGGAGTTACCTTTTAAGTGTGCACACAATTTGAATGTGCCTCTAGAGTATGCTATTCTTCTTTATTATGTCACTACCATGCAAAACAATGCCAGCTTATGGCTAACATGGACTCCCCAGTATGTATGGGACCATCTGATTTCTTGAACAGATACATTATTGCATGTTTACTCTTCACAGCTAGAACTGAGACCCCTGGACTGGCCGGGATAATGGAGCAGCAGGGCCAGCAGGGAGGCTGGCGTGCTCCTCCCGCACCTGAGCCGGCCGGCAGTCCTGTCACCACGGGGCCAACCTGTTCCTGTTATCTTGGCACCTCTCCATGTTACAACTTCTGCAGAGCACATCTACACACAACCCTGCTCTGCCTGGACCTAGGCTTTGATGAGATTCTAAAAGACAGGACGCACCAGCGAGCTGGAGACCCAATGCAAGCAACTCTTCCAGGGCAGAAAACTAAACGCCTTTTACTACAAAGCTGTAATTAATGGGCGATATGAACCCCAGCACTCCATCTCTGATTTCAGGTGTGGGGAGCACTCTGCCTGCCACACTCAGCACTCAGCCAGGAGTGGCTCCCACGCGTCACTGCCTTTCCTGGAGAAAAGCAACCGGATCCCAAAGAGGCTGGAACAGAAAGCAGATACCTGCACCTGCTTACAGCACCCCTGCTTCCTGCTCTCCCGAGAAAAAACCTGAAACATGCTTCCATTATAAGCAAAATAGTATTTTCAGCGGTCCCTTTTTATAGTCAATCTAGTAGAACTAAATTTCCGCACTTGCCTACTCTATATTTCCTTCCTCTCAAGCTTGAGCATCCCACAGTTCCGTACTGACGGGCTCTCGTCCTCTCTGGGTATGGCGGCGCTCTCGCCGTGCCTCCTCTCCATGCTAGCTTCTCCACCAGCCTTGCCTTTTTCCTTCTTGCCCTTTGTTCCTCTTGGGTCCTCCTGCCGGCACCTCTGCCTGAGCCACAGCTCTGCACTGTTGGCTCAGGCCCTGGCCTGTCCTCCTGTCTATAGCTCTTACTACTGCTCCTCCCTCCTGGAGCTGGGGACCAAAGGTGGGCATAATGCTTACAGTGGGGCCTGAACTCTGGGGCCTGGACGCTGTCCCTCAGCTCCTTCAGCTCAAGGCTAGCGCTCTACCACTTGAGCCACAGAGCCACTTTTGGTTTTCTGGTGGTTTATTGGAGATAAGAGTCTCACAGACTTTCCTGCCTGGGCTGGCTTTGAACCACGATCCTCAGATCTCAGCCTCCTAAACAGCTAGGATGACAGGTGTGAGCCACCAGCACCCGGCTACAAATAGTTTTGAACATGTCACTATAAGTGTATGTGGAACTGCATTCTTTTCTTGGCACATACTGAACTACTAAAGTATGTACTTCTTCACATAAATTCCTGTGCTGCACGAGACCTTGCCTCTTCTTGCTTACTTGGAATCAAAGGAAATGCCCACTTTTGCACTTTTCATGGAGAGCTCAGGAAGTCGGCATTTGATTCTGTGTGCTCTGACTATACAGCTCACATCCAAGGTCACAGGTCTGTCCATCCCAGCGTCTGTCCGCCCCAGCGTCTGTCCGCCCCAGCGTCTGTCCATCCCAGCGTCTGTCCGTCCCAGCGTCTGTCCGTCCCAGCGTCTGTCCGTCCCAGCGTCTGTCCATCCCAGTGTCTGTCCATCCCAGCGTCTGTCCGCTGCTGCAGGTGTTTCCCACACTAACTGTTGATATCAGGGGCAGAATTTTCCTAGGGTTAAATGTCATTATTGGTTCTTGTTGTTATGGTGACAAACCATCAATGTGATTCAGCAGTGTTTTCACACTGAGGATGGTAAGAATTCAGCTGCTGTAAAAATATCAATAGTTGACAGGCGTCGGGGGCTCACGCCTGTAATCCTAGCTACTCAGGAAGCTGAGATCTGAGGTTCACGGTTCAAAGCCAGCCTGGGCAGGAAAGTCTGTGAGACTCTTACCTCCAGTTAACCACCAGAAAACCAACAGTGGCGCTGTGGCTCAAGTGGTAGAGTGCTCGCCTTGAGCTGAAGAGCTGAGGGACAGCGCCTGGGCCCAGAGTTCAAGCCCCACAACCGACAACAAAAAAGAAAGAAAGAAGGAAAGAAAGAGAGAGAGATTGAGAAAGAGGGAGAGAGACAGACAGGGAGGGAGGGAAGAGGGAGGGAAGGGGAAGGAAGGAAGGAAGGAAGGAAGGAAGGAAGGAAGGAAGGAAGGAAGGAAGGAAGGAAGGAAGGAAGGAAGGAAGGAAGGAAGGACAAAGGACCAATAGTTGCCCTTGCTGACATTCTCCCATCTCAGAATCTATGTCCCCGAAAGCTCCTGCGGCAGGAGGCCGTGGCCCTCGCTCCTGGGCTGTGCAGGCCGGTTCTGAGGGAAAACTCATTATGCTGAGATGGGAACTGAACACTGAACACACCGACGACAGTGTGCAACTGCTACGCCAGTGTCCGAGTGCACCAAGATAACTGTACAGGAAGGACTGACAGCCTAAGACCGCTGGCACAACCTCACGGGAGATGTCCTCCTCACGACTGCTTCCCCTCCATGGCAGAGCCCACAACAACTACTGAGTACCACGTCCAGACTGAGCGCCACGTCCAGGCTGAGCCCCGCGTCCAGGCTGAGCGCCGCGTCCAGGCTGAGCCCCGCGTCCAGGCTGAGCGCCGCGTCCAGGCTGAGCGCCGCGTCCAGGCCAGACTAAGCGCCACGTCCAGGCTGAGCCCCGCGTCCAGGCTGAGCCCCGCGTCCAGCCTGAGCCCCGCGTCCAGGCTGAGCGCCGCGACCAGGCCAGACTGAGCGCCACGTCCAGGCTGAGCCCCGCGTCCAGGCTGAGTGCCACGCCCAGGCTGAGCCCCGCGTCCAGGCTGAGCCCCGCGTCCAGACTGAGCGCCACGTCCAGGCTGAGTGCCACGTCCAGGCTGAGCGCCGCGTCCAGGCCAGACTAAGCGCCACGCCCAGGATGAGTGCCGTGTCCAGGAGCGCCGCGTCCAGGCTGAGCGCGCACCCGAGGAGAAGGAGGCGCACAGGGTCAGGATGCAGCACCCGAGCACTGCCTCCATGGCTCCGCTCCGGGGCGGTTTAACCAGAGCACATAGATAGATAGGCTGAATGAGCCCTAAACAGAAACAGTGGACTAAATTAGACTGCTAACTATTCCAAGCCAATGATTCAGAAAAATCCTATGCTGAACCCTATTGAATGCGTGTACCAAGCATTCAATTTTACCTTGTCAAATTGAGTTAAGATAATGTTAACTTACCATCAAAATTACCACCTAGGTAAAAATCGGGACAAACGAAGGGGCTAAAAGAAGAGAATACTGCCTTCCGTTCAGAAACTCAAGTTCATCCTCCCAAAGGAAGCCTGTGGACACGGGGGACTCAGATCCGAGTCGGACAAAAGCCTGTGGACACGGGGGACTCAGATCCGAGTCGGAAAACACGTGGTTGACTGGCTAACCATGCAAATCACAAGGTTTATTACAATTTGTTTTGTATATCATTAGTACAGGCACTCAGACGTCAGAAGACAGACCAAAAGGGAACGCTGATTACTGGGCCGGATGGCCATTAGGCCAAATGCTTTACTTCTAAAATCTGAGTAGAGACCACTGCTTCACTTAGGCAAGAGCTGTTCCAATGCAGTCTAGGCCTTTCTCATCAAGACAAAAGGCACTTGGGGGTCAGCCACACTCAGAGTCAAAGAGGACTCAAAATGTCTTTCATAAATTACATGCTGTGGTGGACACCAAATTATTTAGTAAATTTGAATAATAACTTGGCCAAGTGGACAACGTTAAAATTAGCTTCCAATAGGTTTGTGTTAGAGAAAACAATAAATAAGAAGGTGCAGTGTTCACATCCACTGAAATTTTCAAATTTTACAAAAGTTGAATTTTGCAGTTTTCAAATTGCTAAGCTTTTCAAGGTCTGCCTATTTCTCGATTGTTTAATCCTGTTTATAGTAAATCCAACTGGGCTGAAGGGCAGATGGAAAGTTACAAAATTTACACTTAACTGACTTTTAAGATGGATACGGGCTGGGTGTCGGTGGCTCACACCTGTCATCCTAGCGACTCAGGAGGCTGAGATCTGAGGATCAGGGTTCAAAGCCAGCCCAGGCAGGAAAGTCTGTGAGACTCTTATCTCCAATAAACCACTAGAAAACCAGAAGTGGAGCTGGGGCTCAAGTGGTAGTGCGCTTGCCTTGAGCTGAAGAGCGCAGGGACAGCGCTCAAGCCCAAAACTAGAACAACAAGGGCAGGTAAAATAAAGGAAAACCAAATTACCCTGGCCATCAGTCTTGTTCTTTCTGCAGTAAATCAGGCTTGGCAATGACATCTTGAATTTCACTATTCAGGCACTAAATGAATCTGTCTCTTCCACAGCGTAGGCCTACCCAGAGGTAACGTGTCCTCTTTTTAATTGACCTAATGGTCCATTTGCTGATCATACTTGGAGGTCTATTTCATTACCCTAAATTAACATTTTCTTTTCATTAGAGTTACACATAATAAAAAGACGTTGCTTCCATGTGTAGTTTACAGCACACTTAATCTATATTGCTCCTCTGATTAGTGATTACAGCACTTAGATGCTCTTAGGACTGCAGCAGCCCAGTGATTTATCTCCTCATGCACTGCAAGGCCATCAATAAGGAGAATCAAGAATAAGAAATATCTATTCATTAGCTGTATGAAAGCAATTCTAACAAAGGTTTGGACAGATCTCATTTTAAAAGGTACGATGGATCTCTTTAAAGTAAACGGGGTTTTATTTACATAAAATAGTTGAATAATCCTAGCTAACATCCTTTGACATTTATTGTCTTTGCAATGAGACTTTAGTTCTGAGGTCTGGAATCAGACATAACAGCAGCAATGAAGTAATTTTGATTGTTCACGATGATTGTTTAAAAAGACAATTCCTGGCAAGTGATTGCCAATTTAATGAGAAATCATTTGACCATAATTTTCTGACTTAAATTCAGCACCTAGAGCTAAATAGACCTCTCTAGGCCAGAAGCTTACACAGCACTAGCTCATTATTACTCACCACCAAGCTAATCCCTGTGCACGAAAAAGAACACATAAACCTCAGGTTGATTCCAAGACAGTATTAAAAGACTTTTCACAAATTTCAGGCTAACAAAACATCTGCAGAGCTATTGGGACAAATGCTTTCCTCTGCATTCCCCCTCCTCTCTACCTTCCTCCCCCCTCCCCCCCACCTTGTCCTCCTTCTCCTCTTCTACCCCCTCCTCGATATGCCCATCCTACTACCCTACCCCACCATCAAAACTTCGGGTTTCACTATTCTGAGGCAAGTTTTCTCTTGGCGCAGCAGAATGTCCTCTGTGGTCCTGGGTAGGAGAACACGTTAGGTCATGTCTGGAGAGACGATGCATGTTTATAACTGGAAATACAGCTGGGAGGCGAAGGCTGGAAGTTTGAGGCTTGAGGCCCTGCCTCAAATACAAAGACAGCAAAGATCAAAGGAGGAAACTGCCATGTCCAGGGCCCGGGCACGCAGGCTCACAAAGGGGTTCGCAGACACCTGTCTGGATGGATTCTCCCAGGAAGGCTGGGGCTCTGAGAGCGAGAGCACTCCAGGAAAGGAGGAGCTGGGAGGAGGCAGGGCCTGGCACCACTGCTGCGGACACACGCTGGCTGGGACTGAGGGCGCACCGGCCGTGGGGAGCCCCGCGGGGACCGGGACAGCCTGGACTGTAAGGGCAAACCCTCTGCGTGAACCAGGGACAGAGTGGCACTGGAGATCACCCAGGGGAAGCTTTTCCAGTATTTTTCAATTCTGCCTTTCTTCAAGCTGTCCAGAGCTTCCCCCAAAACTTAGACCAACACGTATTACCAGCGGAATACTAGATATCTAGCAGGACAAAGCAGCGCATCGGCTGCATCGATCATGTCACACACAGAAGCTCACTGTAAAAACATCTAGCTCTAGATGTTATTAGTACTTAAGAGAAATTATCGCCTTAGCAGAAAAGTTTCCTTAATGTGAGAAAGACTCAGGGCAGGGGTCTATCATGGACAAAACTCTTATACTTGTTTCACTTCTACCTGGAGGAGATGGAATTTATTTAGTTACTTTTGC